ACTGCACCTGAAGCTCCGGTTGTAGAAGAAGAGGCAGTAAAAGCTCCAGAGATCTCAACAGAAGATCTTACAGAGGATGAGATCTTACCAGTGAACAAATATGAACCAGAACCGGCACTTACAGATTCACCAAACCCTGCCCAACCGACTGCCCTGTCTCCAGAGATAGAGTCACCTTTCACTCGTGTCTCTGACATCAGCCCAGAATCTGAAGAACACCCTGACATAATTATCCCTGCGCTAGTGGAGGTAAAGCAAAAGCATGAACCAGTAATTTATTTATTTTTTACTCATTAGGAATCACTTAATGGATAATTTTAGGTTTTAAATGGAGAAATCTTTGGACTTATTTGTGAAATCAGTATCTTTGGGTCTTGGAGCACAACTGTTGACAGATATTTAAAGGCTGTTGCTGCTTTTAGACGCACTGTGGAGTTGCACTGTTTACTGGAAAACATCACATCATGTAGGCTACGATTATTGATCCAAGATGCTTTACTACCATATTCAACAAATCCACATATTCTGAGCTGGTAACTCATAGCAATCTTTCTTTCTTTCTTTGTTCCAGATGTTGTGATAGCAATACATTGGCCGATTAAATAACAGATTAAGCCAAGAAAGTCCCTGCCCTCAGATATTCTACACCATTCAAATTCCCAGCAACAACATTGTCAGTGGGAAAAAAAAAAAAATCCTTGGCAGTGGAGAAAATAATGTAGCGTGCACTGTCGCTGCAGAAAATAAACTAAAGTCAAAACAAACACCAATGATATTTATCCTAGTTTCTTGGGGGAAAAAAATCCAGCAGTCACACAAAGTAAACATTGTTGCATCCAAGTTAGAAGTAGCATTTCTAAATGAATCTACTCTTTTATCCCCCAGATTCAGACCACCAATGGAGGCTTGGATGATGCCACCATTGGAGACCATAGTTTTGGTGTGGTTCATTACGGTTACGGTCCCATTAACCACACAGAGGAGGGCAGCACTGGATTTCCAATCGGTGTGTCACATGGCACAGACCAGGCCAGCATCGCTATGCCTGTAAACCCTGGACGAGCTCTGATGGTGTTCTTCAGCCTGAGGGTGACCAACATGATCTTCTCTGAGGATCTCTTTAATAAGAGTTCTCCAGAGTACAAGGCTTTGGAGCAACGCTTCCTTGAGTTGGTAAATGTCCACATTTTACTGCACTAGTGGATTTCATTTCCACTGTTGTGTGAAATTCTTCGATTTGTAATCTTTTTTTAATCTTTTCCCAGCTTGTGCCCTACCTCCAATCCAACCTGACCCACTTTGAGAACCTGGAGATCCTGAACTTTAGAAATGGGAGCATTGTGGTCAACAGCCGGATGAAATTTGGACGGCCTGTGGCTCAAGGCGTCACCACCACTGTCTACCTGATCTTGGAGGACTTCTGTAACACCGCCTACCAGACCATGAACCTGGCCATCGATAAGTACTCGCTGGACGTTGAGTCGGGTAGGTTCTCACTGACTCACTAACCCTAACCCTAACCCTATTACGTCGAAGGCATCTACTGGTTCATATCACAAGTCTCTTCAAGGAATGGCTTCACAGTTTGGAAAAACTAATTTTCGTTTTCTCGCCAAGGGTGAGAGTGAGAGGAGAAAATCAGTGCCACTCTCATTCCTGCACACTCACTCATGAAAGAGTCAGAAGCCATTTAGCTTAGCTCGCTGTGGTGATGACACTCTAAGTCGTTGCTCGAACAAAGTCATTGCTCTTAAATAATTGTCCTGCACAGCAAAAACTCTTGTTAATAGTGTTGTATGGAAGTGCAGGAAAATTGTATTACCTTTCAAAGGAGCGATTTAACCTGTTTTTATGCTAAAGTAAGCTATCCAGTTTCTGGAATTAATTTCACCTTTAGCGTACTGTCATCTTATCTAACTCTTGGCATAAAGGTAAATGACGTATTTCTAGAAATGTTAAACTATTCCTTAATTAAGTATAATCACAGAAAATTGTTCTATAAATTGTTCTGCATTAAGTCACTGCTGAAAAACATGTTAGTGTGTGAGCAGGCTTGAGAAACCAGGCGTTGAGTCCCTGTCGTGACATCTTTGTCTCAAGTGGTCAATGTCACGGTCACATCAGCTAAGATGAGATAATCAGGGCTTCCCTGGATCACAGTGACATTAACACATATCATTACCTGCACTTGGACCAACTGACACTTGGACATACTGACTACGGTGTGTAGCATGTGTGATATCCCTTTCACTTCTGGACTATATTTGCAGCAGTGCATTTCCTCATATGATGTGAGCTTGTGCCATTTATGATATCAGTGGTTCAGGCTAGTGTCTAAATTCTCTGTCCCAGCCAAAACACAGTACTGGGATACAACAACATGCTACTAAAGTCATTAAAAAAACAAACAAACAAACAAAAAAAAAACTATCTGAACTGTTTAGAATGTGGTAGGCAACAGGATTATTTTGTTTTAGCATTTTATGTGTAATATCTGCAATTTTTTGTTTTCTTTTGGTTTATTTTTGGTGATCCGTGTTAATTTTGGAATTTAAATTATACATTATGATTATTTGCAAATCCTTTTTTGATCAGTGGGATGGCAGATGTTGGGTAGATGACCTTTGGGAACACTTGTGGAGTCTCTCAAAACTTGCATTTTTGCATAGCGTTAAACATTCAAGGCTTATCAGAAATCAGTGTTAGCATCTCACAAAAAAGGATTATTTATTAAGAAGTTGACACGATCATTGCAAACTTCATCACAGTTTTGTAGACCTGCTTTGATCAGATTTGACTGACAATCGGCTTTCAGTATAAGCAACAGTCTTACATCTGTAATCAGATTTTGAGTCAAATGTTGACATGGATATGACATGATCTTTGGTCCTGCCAAAAACAATAACAGCAACAAATAACAAAACATCTCATTTGAAATAACCAAAAGTGTGGGTAAAAAAAAACAGTGCTTTAATGTAGGGCTCCCTCAGTTATAGCGAGGCGCTGATTCAAAAAACATCTGTGTTACAGTTTCTCCTTATACCTTTACTCAGCGCTCTGCTATTTCTTTAATTTCCAGGTGACCAGGCCGATCCCTGTAAGTTCCAGGCATGCAACGAATACGCAGAGTGTAAAGTGAACAAGTGGTCGGGGGAGGCAGAGTGCGTCTGCAACGCTGGCTACTTCAGCGTGGACGGCCTGCCCTGTCAGAGTATCTGTGAGCTGCAGACAGACTTCTGCCTGAATGACGGCAAGTGTGACATCATCCCCGGCCAGGGAGCCATCTGCAGGTGGGTGGGGATTAAGGGGAAGTGATCTGCGTCTATGTGTGCGGGAAAGAGTGTCTGAGTTTGCAGGTTTGCGAGTCTAGTGCCTCACCACATAACACTAAACAGATTTTGAAGTGTTATTACAGTTCATGCAGGAGGCCAGAGTTTATAGTTTCAAAGCTGCTCTGCTTTGCTGGAGGTTGATCTTATGGAGACGAGGGATGTGCCCCCAAGTTATTTGTTTAATTTGGCTCCACATATTCCAGATAAGCTCAGGAATTAAGGTCATAAACACCCAAATGAAATAAAGCTTTACTTTTACACCTTTGCTGGCTTCAATAAACAATTAACAATCTTCAGAGATTTATATTTAAGGTCAGCACGCAAACCTTTTGGCAGCATGCTACGGTCCTTTATTTGCACCCTAAGGCATTTAATGTACTGAAAATAAATAAAAACAATGAGTACCATTTGTAAAGGTGTAGTTGCTCAGATTTAATTGGAAGCTTAATCCTTATTTTAGATCTACACTATAAAAAAAAACAAACAAACAGAAAATCAAAATTCTGAGAAAATATGTTGAAAAATAATATCATGTGGTAACGTCCAAAAAAAGTAAAAATCTGTGAAAATAACAGTAAACATTTGTAAAATAATGATGTTTTAGTGGACTGAAATACAGTAAAATTGTGTATTTTAGGGTCACACATTGTAAAAGAATGAATTACTTTTTGTAAAAAACAGTCAATTGTAAATTAATATTTTTTTCTGTGACTTTTGTAAATATTATCTGTGTTTAACAAAATAGGGATTGTTTTTTTAAAACCTTTTTTATAATACATACACACATACAAATATCTGTACAATAATGATAGTTTTTCCTGATTAAAAAAATTCAAAAATTCATCATTCAAAATTATTTTACATTTTTAAATTTTCACTGTACACAATTTTTTCTTTGAAATAATGGGAAATATCTGTGAAATGATCATATTTTTGGCTGATGTAAATATAGTAGAAAGAGAGTAATTTTGCTGTCAAAAAACGATTTACTATTGGTAAAAACACTGATTTATGAAGTGGACGTTATTTACAGTTTTAGGCTGTTTTACTAGCTATGAACTGTAATTGTGCAAAAAAGGAAAACTGGTAAATAAAAGTAAATTGTAAAAAAAAAAAAGAAGAAGTAAAAAACAAAAAACTGTTAAACACTTTTATTTTTTGGACATTCTAGGATACATATCCCTATTTTGTTTAATGCAATATTTTGAAATGACATGAGCAGCTCTGCTTTTTGTCACTGTGATTCCTTTGATCTTTTTTTTTTCTTTTTGGAATTATGTATCAGATTGCTGAGAATGATGTGTTTAAGTGTCTGTGCCTTTGTTTCCATTTTCAAACATGGCTTAATATGTATAAGATGCCTGTAAAATGATCTGTCACTAATGCAAATCAGTGACAGCGACATGTCTGTTGGCTCGGCTCGGCCTTGTGTATGCGCTGCGCTTTAACTTGAGTGATTATGAACAGACACCGAGGAGACTGAGCGCCAAGATGAGTGCTAACCTTTGTTTCACACCCACTACCACATCATAAAACACACAGGCAGCTCCAGATGCTGCTGGATTGTTATTTACCTCACATTGTCCAACCACCGCTCCATGGAGACAGAAAACAAACATGTGAAGGTTTTTTTCCCCCACATACAAAGTAATAATGATTTAATGACACGCAGAATTGTAGACATATTATTAACTTTGTCAGGACAAAATCCAAACATCACTGAACATTCAGTCATTAGTTTTTACAGCGACTAATTATTCAACAAAGAGTAGAAAAACAGAACAACATGATGGGGTGTTGGTCTTCTTCTGTTCCTTGAATGCGTTAAGAGTTTTAAAAAGTGGCTCTTTTGTGTTTTAGTTCCTCCAGCAATGGAAAATATTTTATCACACTTCTGACAAATCTCCATCATAAATTTTCAGATGTCGCGTCGGGGAGAACTGGTGGTACAGAGGAGAGCACTGTGAGGAATACGTGTCCGAGCCACTGGTGGTCGGCATAGCGATCGCCTCTGTAGCTGGCTTCCTACTGGTGGCCTCCGGAGTCATCTTCTTCCTGGCCAGAACGCTACGAGACCAGTATGACAAGGACGAGTCTGAGGACCCCATAAGGTGAATAAAAGCTGTTAAACATTATGTGTCCACGCAGTCAACCCTGACTGTGTATCGTTTGTAATCCCATTTTCAACAGTTGTCAGACACAAAATTATGTTTGGAAAAAAAAGAAAAAGAAATTCAGGAATGTAAACACTGTCAAACTGAGCTCTGTCTTCAGAGTTACCTTACTAATTGATTATTGAAATATTTTATTTGCTGTGAAAAATAACAGCGATATAAATCAATATATGAACAGATATTTTGGAGAGATTTTCTTCCTGAAAAATGTACAGCATCTTTTGTATTTGTTTGATGAGTACAAAAGACGAGTGTTCAGTCTCTGTCTCCTTACATAGCTGTTGGATTTAGATTAAATTCATTTAGTCAAAACAATAATAACACAACTGTGGCAAATAAAAAAAGGAGGGTATATGTAGCTCCTGATTCTAACTGTGAGATATAAGCTAATTATTGCACTTGGAGACACATTTTCCTTCTTGTGACTTCTTCAACTCTCAGCCACTCAAGCCTACAGAAAAAAACATTTTCATTTCTAGAGGAGATACGAAATGTCCTCTGTCTGCATTTACTGTTTATGCTGTCGTCACATATATTGTTGACAATGTTTCAGGTAAAACCTCAGAGAGAAATTAAAGCATTTTAAATAAAAATCAGTCTACAAAAGCTGTTAACTGTATTTCCTGATTAAAAACAAACTTTTTTTGTTTGATAGTGGACAGAAATGCTTAAATATAGTGTTTTTAAGACTCTCTCCTCCACTTAATCAGCTTTAGATTAAAGAAGCCTGGTTATTTTCTTGAGGGGGACAGAATATGTTGAGAAATCCCATGACTGGGTCCTCAGTTCGTCGGCCAAAATTATCCTCTGCACCGTCTCTCTATCCTTCTTAACTTACAGCAGTGCAGCCACCCGTCTCGGAGTCTGGTGTTTTCTTTCGTCTCGTCCTGTTTCCTCCTTCCTTTACTCCGTCTCTCTCCTTTAAACACACACCAAAGTATCTGTTTGCCATGCGTCAGTGCCAAGCTGCCTGTGGAGAATCACCGTGTTAAAACTGAGCTAATTAACTGAGCAGATATGGTGCTGATCTGTTCCTAAAAAGCCTTGAACACCAACCGCAGGAGGCTTTCTGGCAGTCTGTGGTCTGACTCAGGCATGAAGAAAGTCAGTTAAGGTTAATCCACGCTCTTTTACGGCCCCCTAATTGACGCGCAGCTCCGGTTATTATCTTGTCATTTTGCAGACGAGCAGAGAGCCTCCCGTCTTTGGAGAGGGCGACCAAGTACAACCCCATGTACGAAAGCGAGGCCACCACGGGCTACAGCCACTACTACCGCCGCTATCCTGAGGCCCCTGTGTACAGCAGTGCCAGCGCTGAGGCCTCCACCGACTTCAGCAGCGAGGAGATACGACACATCTATGAGAACAGCGAACTGACCAAGGAGGTGTGCTAAACCTTTATTATATAATAAAATGCTGAGCCAAGTTGTTGTGCTGCGACACTGATAAAATCATTATTTTATGCCACGAGGAGCTTTCAGACAAAATTAAATCGGGGTTAATGACTGCATGAGCATTTAAAATAAGTGCTCACAGAAAGTGAGCCTCACTGAGGTGGCTTATGGCTTTGTTTAGCCGAAGTTCTGTCTTTCTTATGTGCCACACTGGAAAACTTTTGAAGTTCAAAGAAGTGGAAAAGCTCAATTTTTGAGGGCTGAAACGCTGTTGTAGTGCAAAGAAATGGCTAAAACAGAGCAAAGATGCATCTTTAAGCACCTAATTTCACACGAAAACATTTTATAGTTGTTCAGAAATACAGGAGGTCCCAATAATTCTGCATTAGAAGCAGTTTTTTTTTCTGTACAGAACCTTTTTGCACTTGTCTAAGTATATATGAGAAGACTTAAGTGCATCTGAATGAATAGTTTAATCCGCCACCAAGCAGAGACACAGAGAACTAAGAATTTCATTGCACTGTGTATGACAGTACAGCCTTTGAATGCTTTATACACACAAATTTTACCTGTTTAAATTTTTTGATAGCAAACTTATTCAACACCTGACTTTTGAGGCTTTAAAATAAACCGGTTTTAGTTTTTTTTTCCTGCAAAATGCCATGTTTTGATTGAGCCACAGCCTGTTCAGTTTACTGTTTATCTGCCTGTGATGTAATGCTTCCTCTTGACTGATGTGTTTCTGCAGGAAATCCAAGACAGGATACGCATCATTGAACTCTACGCTAAGGACCGGCAGTTTGCAGACTTCGTACGGCATCATCAAGCGTGAGTGTTTTCCCTCTTTCCGTCTGTGATGAGATAAAGAAATGGGCCAAACAAACCAGGATATGAGGAAACGGGGAAGCGAGTTTGAGATACGGGTATGCTGACACGACTGGCGGGAAAACAAAGAGGGTTAGTGGAGAGCTGGAGGAGACGAGGAGTTCAAGCCATGCCAAACCAGTGTGGAGACAGATTTATCATCCCTAAATCTTCACCAGCCAGGCCTGGAGCTGATACAGCGAGACCGAAACCATTACGAGATGCAGACACTCCTTCCTCTGCCAACAGCCCCACAGTAGCAGTGTGTTTGTGTGTAATGTCGGTGATTGTTTTCAAGTCGTGTCTGGCTGTAGATCGCATCTGTTTGTGCCACAGAGGTCCTTCAGGCCAGATAGAGCCTGGTTAAATTGTGGGTACTTGTTTATGCAATAAATAAAGCAACAGATTTATCTTGAAGGGTTAAATTTAAAATGTTTCACCTGCATGTTCTGCAGAGTCCTGGACACCCGCAGAGAGAGCTCCTCTACGCAGACATGAAGCTCTTCTGTGAACATCAAGGTATTTCTTCTTCATCTGAACACCATTTGGTGGCTTGATTTAACAATTCCCCTCAGCATCTTTGTTAGAAATGTCAGTTAAGCTAGAAGGTATGTGATTTAATCAAGTCTATAATCAAAATGAGCAGAATTTAATTATGAACTTCTAAGATCTTCTTCTTGCAATTATTACTGATACATATGTTAACCAAGGGTCTGATCGTTATCTGTCTTTTCAGGAAAGGGGGTTAATTATTATGCAGCTACTGCACATTAAAGCAGAAAAAGGACACCTAGAGTGAGATTTATACAGCCACCGAACTACAAAGAAGGGTTAGGATTTCCAATTTTGAGTGATTATTACAGCAGCCTCGACTGGTTGCTGTAAACCACACTGTAAAAGTAGATGGAAAGAAACTGTGCACGCAATGGGAAAAGATAATGATTAATGATCCCTCACTATCTAACCACTTACTCATGGGTTTTTAGGTCACTAAAGATGTCATAGAAATGATACTTTAAAATTATCTTTAAATAACAGCTTTTTATAGACTTCTTCAGCATTTTGGGAAATACAGTTTTTGTTGTTGTTGTTTTTCCCCCACAGTTAAAGGAGAACATCACTGATTGTAAATATAAAGCTGCAGCCAATTAGCCTAGCTTAGCATAAAGACTGGAAAAAGTGGGAGCAGTAGGTCTCCCCCTGTCCAAAGGTAACAAAATCTGCCTGCTAGTAGCTCCAAAAGCAACTAATTAACAGGTTATATTTTGTTTGTTTAGCAAGAACAAAAAGCAAAATGTTAAAAGGACAAATTGCTGTTTTACTGTGAGGTTCGTTGCTGGACTGTTCCTCGTCTGGGAGCAGTTACCTACTTCAGGCCAAGAACGAATCTAGGCGCATATGTCCTCATAAAACAAAACAAAAACAAAGTTGTTTTTACACCTCTGTTTTTCTACGGTTTTTTCTTACCTTTGGCAAACCCTGTTTTCGGTCTTAAGCTCAGCTAAGTGGCTGCTGGCTCCAGTGTCATATTTTGCATGGAGACATGAGAGTGGAATCAATCTTTTCATCTAACTCTCTGCAAGCAAGTGAATTAACATATTTCCCAAAATTTCAAACCACTAAAGGCTGGCTCACTGGCGGCCTCATAGCATATTGCGCATAATTCAAAGTGAAATTAGGCATTTCCAGGAGCTTAATGACAAATTCATTTTGCTAAATCGAGACCATCTATTTAAAAGCTAGAGATAATATGAGGGGAAAATGGAGCACATATGGCAGCAGGAGACTGTAGAATATTGTATGTTTTTGCTTTCATGCTGATGTGCTTCTTCTGCTTCACAGAAACAAGCCTCTCTGCTAAAAAGTGAAGCTCCATATCAAGACTTCTTGGTTCTCAGAGCCTGGACTTCACTGTTTAGAAAGGACTATCATTCAGCGTACTACTCTTATAATCTCAACAACGAGTCTGCGTCTGTCCCTTCCTGGGTGGGCAGAGATGTCGACTGTTCTTCCTCCTTCCTCGGTGCCTTCTCTTGACTTGGGTGAGCTCTCTGTGACATCATGTTTGCTGCTCATCTGCTGGACGTCTCCCCCGTAGGGAAAACTGGACCACATCCTGTTACTTGAAATGCTAACAAAACACATATACCAAGTAGTACTTTTGCTTAGTGGCATAATGGTTTTCCTGTCATCGCGTCTGTCCATTCTTTAAAGGGAAGAACATAAACTGTGAATATGTATATAGCTGAGGTGACGTTTCTTAGTCAAGTTTGGCTCTTTAATGCTCAGATTGACACTGTAGGTCTTCTCAGAGAAGCGCTGAGAGGGCTGCTCTACCTAGATAATGGTGCTATTTTAATGTAAAGTACTTTTAAATATAGTGGTCCATAATGACCAACTTATATAATTTAAAAGCAACACCAATGGGTCACTCTGTATAGTAGAGTACTATTGTCCATTAAAGGAACAGTTCAGAGTTTTGGGATATACAATTCTTCACCTTATTGGCAGAGAATTAAGATAAGAAAATCAACTGAACTTTGTTGTCTGTCAAATGTGAGGCTACAGCCAGAAGCCATTTGGTTACGTTAACCTTCTGAACCCCAAAATCCACCACTGGATTGGAAAGGTATATTATTGTAAAAATCTTGCCAAAATTACACCATTCATCAGAACCAGACACTATGAAAACAGAAAGAATCATAGGATTTTCAACTTTTTGAGAACCTTTGAACTACTCATCTGTGATTTGCCAAAATAATCAGAATCTAAGCTTAAAATTGTAATATTTCATTTATATTTCATCACTTAAATGTGTCATTTAAAAAGTTTGCCAAACAAAGAAGTTCGCACTGACCACAGTCTGTAAAGAAACGATAAATTCTGCACTCCTCAGTGCAACCAAGAAGTTATCAGTGACTCAGCTGTAACCAACAGTCATTGCAGCAAAACTGCTGTAAGTTTTCAGCTGAACTTGGCTGAACTGCAGGCTGTGTGTACACAGAGCAGATAGGAGACAAGTATGGAAACAAATCAGAAATGTAAGAAGTAAAATATCTACGGTATGTGGAGCCACCATTTATGTCCAGTGCTGGTAACACCTGTGGACACCTGGAAACATATTGTACATGTTTATTTTAGTCTTTGTCAATTTTTGTAAGATAAATAATCGAAACAGTTTTTGCTTGTTTTTTTCAGTGATTTAGTGCATATGACATTATAACTGAGTTATAAAAGACACTTTTGAATTTTCTGTGTTTCCAGCCATGCATGACTGTGCTGTTTCCATAGAGGTTCAGGACTTAACATTGCAGTAAAAAAATAAGCTCAGAAAAATGAAGTCAAACTGCCCAGAAACCGCTTGAGGTTCAGAGGGTTAATACAAAGACTGAAAACATGTGCCAGGAGCTCTTTATATGGCAAATTGTCCATATGACACTTAGAGTTTTGTGCATTTTTTTCCAAACAAGAATGTGCTAATTCAGGAGCTTTACTAGGAAAGCTGATGCAAGTACTATTAATCCCTTTAGTCCACGCCAACTCTGACCAGGCTGTCAGTTACCAGGCAGACTAACAGCAGAAATTTACAAGATAAAAGCAGTTTTCATGTAGGCTCAGCAGAGAGACAGCAGCTATGTTTCCATACATGCATTCATTGATTCCACTGTGGACATTTACTTGAGAAAATTAAACCAGAAAGCTTGCAGGACACTGAGATCCATCATTAGCAGATACCACTAAACCGTCTGCACCATAAAAACAGCAATAGATTTGGATGTTTAAAGTGTCATCTGGTGCAGTAGAAGGAAAACAATTGATGGATTTTGTCTTTACAGTGGCTGGTAGGAAAATTTTGCAACCACTGGACAGAACCAGTTGATCTGCTGCCCTTGTTTTCAGTGTTTGTGCTAAGTTAGGCTAAGTGGCTGCTGCTGTGGCATTCTATTTAATGTATAGATATAAAAGTGGTGTCATTTTCATATCTAAATCTCTGCCATAAAACAAAATATCCAACTTTTCCTTTACGATGGCCAAATGTAGTACTTCTGTATAGCCTTTCACAGTCTGAAGGTCGAGTAGAAGGTTAATTTCTAATATTTTTCCACTGGCAGGTGATTTTTCTGCCTTTTTCAAGCACTCCAAAGATGAGGAGCTTTGGTGTTTGTTTGTAAATGTCTGACCAGGCAGACAAGAGTGAAAAAACAGTGGTGAGGGAAGAAAGGCAGAGAGCATGAACCCTCTATAGCTCTGGGATCCAGAAATAAGTGAAAACACGTTTCAGTGGAAAAATGCTCCGAGGCAGGCGGCCCAGGGATTTGATCAAATGGTCTGCTTTTAGATGTCATATGTAATACAAATGAAAGAACAGGAAAAGCAAGCTGATAAACAACATATGCTCTTTGGAAGGACAATCTCAAGCTGCGTCTCCCGCTGCAGAAAAACTTTAAGGTTACCAGCAATTCTTGAAAAAAAAGAAAAAGATCCGTCCTGCTGTGACTACTTATTTGGCTGCGATCCTGATCCTCCATCTGAAACCTCCTGACAGACTAATTTCAGTGTTTTCTTTGGTATTTTCATCCGTTCCTCTCCGGACTTGTTGTACTTGACCCTTCTCAACCCCCTCAAGCAGACCCTCACAGCTGCAGCCGATTACGATCTGTAGGCTTTTCGTTTGTTGTCGGCCAGTCTGACCTTCGCGTCTGTTTCGAGGTCACAATCACGCGCATAGATCACGTCGTAGCTGCTTGTTTACATTACATGCTTCTTGTCCTTTGCTGTTCTTTTAGACAGACACACGAGTGAAAAACACTGGCGCAGCAGACCCTTGTGACAATGTCATGCCTTCTGAAGTCTGTGTCCAATTTTATTTTTTATATGTATGCTGCGTTTATTTTGTGTCTGCATACAATTTTTGTCACTGTCCTTCAACATCTGCCACCAGGACAAGAAGCCAATCATCATCATACAATGCTCTGTCATGTAAATAACCTTGTACATATTACTAGCAGTTGTACTGTAGGACCTAAATCACGTGTATCTCCAATGTTTCCATATGTGAACATATTCCTTTTATACTGATGACTCTGTCACCATGTTAACAGTGTTATCATATTGTGCAGCTGTGTAAATGACTAATAAACAAAGTGTAATGTGGACAAAAATAAAGTTTTTTATATAAAATGCAGAATCTGGTTCAGTGGTGGAATATAAATAAGTAAATTTACTTCTCAATGTCAATTTTATACAACTTTGCACTATTGCTGTTTAGCTTTAAAGAGGAAAAAATGCATTATATCCATATGTCCATCTATTTATCTATCTCTGTCTGTTTATGTTTATAAGATTTTACTCACAGAATCAGCCTTTAAAATACAATGATTTGATGTGCATTAAACTTGACAATAGTAAATAAAGCAGCAACTATGACAGTAAACGTGCTGCTTACATAGTAATACATCTGTAATGATAAAGATTCTATAAGATTGTAGATATAATAA